ATCATTATACAAGTGTTTGTGTAAAAATATGCTTTTTTTCCCCCTTGGGTAAATACCTAAGAATGGAAATGGCTGGATCATATAATAGATTTTAGGGGAACACAGGCAAGGTTCAGCTCATAGGAACACGTAGCAATCTGAGCCCTGATTCTGTCACTGTGACATGATGTAGACACGTCTCTAGTAGGTCTCTCTCCAGAGAAAAACTATTTTTAGGCCAAGATTTAGTGGGTGTGGACGTATCCAACCATGAGGCTTCCTGAGAATTTTTAGGTTCTTCTGTTTATGACTGATCAGATTCTGCTCCTGGAAACATTCTCCAAAGCAACCCCCACCGTAGCCTTTCGATGGAAGGACAAGGGGCTGTGCTAGGGAAGGGGCTGTGCTAGGATGTCATTCCCCAAGTGATGGCATGTTCTGTGCTGGGGCGGTTATGAGTGACTCACTTGTAAAGCAGACCCTGCACCCTCCTTGTATATTTGTGACTTTGAAACTGCAGTTTCTCAATCACAGAATGAGTGGAGGAGACAGATAATTTATGGAATATCAAGCACTGCATGCGATATTTTATGCACATTGTTTTAGCTAATCCTTAAAGCAGTCTTGTGAGGTTCAGGGTGTTATTCTCATACGGATGAAGAAAAGGGGCTTAGAGCGGTTTAGACCCTTACCAAGATCACACAGCTAGTAACTTCACCGAGCTGAAACTGAACCTGCTGCAGGCCAGATCCAAACCCTCTCCTTCCCATTGCACTTTGCTGTCGCTCCTTGGTGTCTCACCAGCAAAGTGTACAAGGGAAGTTATTGATGAATAAGACACGTTTCCTGCTATGCCCCTCCTTAATCACAGCCCTCCCCGGGCTAAGAGTGGGGATGGTGGAGCCAGACTGTCTGGGTTGGAATCCCAGCTCTGCTACTTATTATCGAACCTTGGACAAGACACTCAACCTTTCCCTGCCTCAGTTTCCTCATCTGTACAATAGGGTAATAATAACTCATAGGGACTCATAGGGCTATTTGGTAGGGTTCACTAAGTTAATATCCAAAAAGCTTTTAGAACAGTGCCTGGCATGTACAGTGCTAAACACTCGATCAATGATGATTATTGCTATATAGACATCCAGACTGAGGCCCAGCAAAAGAGTAACTTGTCTAATGAGATACACTTAGCAAAGCTCGAACTAGAATCGGTTCTTTTTTTTTTTTGAGACAGAGTCTCACTCTGTTACCTGCGCTGGAGTGCCATGGGGTCAGCCTAGCTCACTCCCCAACCAAGATGAATCAGTTTTAAACCCTTAACTCTGTGACTTGTGAGATGTTCAATGCCTTCCTGGATATTTCTGTGAATTACCAGAGGCTTATGCTTTTGTTTTGTTTTTTTTTTTGCAATGGGTTCACATTCTTTATGCCATTTCTGAGCTGTTTGTCTTCACCTGTCCTGGTGATGGCTGCTTCTCCTTGATTTAGCCTCCCTTCCCTTTCCCCAAACCATATATGCATTGATTTAAGATTGGGAGGACTGCTGTGACCAGTGGGTGCCAGAGTATGTTGGCCATAACATGGAACTACCCCTGCCCCTCACACGCAAGACCAGGTGTGAACGGGGAAGTGCAGCGTCCCAGCAGCAAAGGAGAGGTCGAGAGGAGCCCAGCCTCTGTGGCTTGGATTCCAGCCCTTCCAAGTCATGGCTGTGAGGGCTGAGGACAGAGGAAGGGATGGTAAGAGGAACATAAAGGGACCTGATTCAGCATTATTCTGGTAACCCAAAAAAATAAGAACTCGAGAAACAGTAAACTTTTGGCTACTGTTTTTTTTTTTCCAAACATGTGTTGAGTGCTCCTGAACTATTATACTTCCATTACTTTTATACATCTGTTATCTAAAACTTGATTGTAATTTTAACTGCATTAGTCTACACTGAATCCTTCTTGTATTACGTTACTAGTTATAACTATTTAAGTGTTGTCTTAGTGACTTTCTATTACTGTTACAACTTTACCTGTATGACTCTGGGCAAGTCACTTAAACTCTCCTGGTGAGGATTACAGTGTTCCTCACAGTACCATCATGAGGATTAAACATAAAGCGCACAGCAGTATCTGGAACGCAGTAAGGGCTCCGTAAGTGTTAGCAATTATTTATTTCCCTGGTTAACCAAAGCTGACTGTAGTTTGGTACGGCTGGCACATGGGAGATAGGACAGTGGTGGTGGAGAGAAGATGGAACTTGGGGTTGGCCCAGTAAGCAATGACCAGATCAGGACTTCATATGGTATTATGAAAAGGATGGACTTTATCCTACTGGCCATGGTTTCTGAAGCCCTCCCTGATGGGAGACAAGTGTGATCTTCTATCTGTAGGGGTAAGATGCCCTCCAAAAACATAATGTCTTATTTCCTGTTTAACTTAAAAAATTCCATACCAATTTTGTGTTCTATTCTATAGCATGTTCAGTGGCAGAGAGCTGGCTTTCAAAGATCAATCCTTGGTTGAATGATTATAAAATGGATGGCATCTGGAAATATTCTCAATCCATTAGAAAGACACCATTTCCAACCAATTGCATCAACCTTTTGAGATATCCCTATTTCAATATCATGGTACCTTAAAGATGAGAGGTGTTTCTAGAACCAAATATACATCAGTGACTAATACACTAAATTATATAACACTTTGTCTTAGGGTTTTTAAAAATATCCTGGACTTTGGAAAATATTCTTACATAAAGAAGCAAAGAGAGGATGGAACAGGCTTGTGTTCTGACAATACTGAAACTTCAGTCAAGCTGCAAACTGATTAACAGCCTGTTGGACCAGGATTTTCCTTACAGCCTTCGCAGGTAAGTATGATAGATAAGTGAATGGAAGCCCAGGAAACACTTCTTGCCTTCACCCCAGGCCCTATTCATTCCTTGACTGAGGTCAAACATTGACTGTGATCACTATTCAAATGCAAATATCCTTGTAACCATTAAAACTGTTAGCAGGTTTCCTCTAGAAAGGAAGTGGGGTCACATCTTCAAATCCTAGGAAAGTCAAGGGACTGGTCTGTCTTGTTCAGGGCTACTTTGCCTTCATGATGTCGCTAACAATTTCCTATTAAAAAAAATAAAATCCTACTCTATTACCATGAAATAGTTCAATATATTTTGGAGAAAAACCAACCCACACACATTTTCCCCATAACATCAGCATTTTGTTAAAGTGAACTAAAGTGCTAAAAAAAACAACCGACATACCACAAACCAATGTGCAGAAACTGACAAGTGACAATAGGAATTTGAAAACAAAACCAGAACAAATTTTGGAAAAACCCAGGAGATATGGAAGCTATCTGGCAATTCACAAAGTATCATCTTCATGTTTACTGGGTAACACCCATGGCTAAACTTTATCGTTTGTAATGCTTGTAAAAGAATCACATGAGAGTCTGTTAAACCAGAATACTGCTTGAAAATGACATCTTTGGTGATTTGTCACTGAGGCTGGAATTTTAAACCTCCTAATTTTAAACACATGATTCATGTGGAGATTATATTTAGTCATAAGGCTTCATACTTCCTATTTATGCTTAGTCTATTTCATAGCTCACAGCAATTATAATGAGACCATAGTTGGGAGTTGAAATATAACCAAAAAATACTATTCTACTAGTATATTAAAGAAAACAGGGTTTCGTATAAAAGAGCTTATAAAATTGTTAACCCAAATTACTACTTAACATGTGACATAGACCAAAAAAAAAATACACATCAAAATAGAAATATAGCCAGATAATCAAATAATATGCAACATCTCAGTAATTACTAGTATATCTTATTTACAACTATGTTTTTATTACTCCTTTTAAAATATAGTTGTCTCTCTCTAGGAAACTCTAAAACTTTAAAGAACATAAGAGCCTGACAACCAATTTTCATCTTATTTTGAAGATAAAACGTTATTTTTCATTTGTAAGCTCCCAATTGGCACAAACTACATCAGGTATTCTACATATATTTTTATTTCCTTTTTTTAACAAGTGAAAAATTAAAAAATCAAGTAAATAAGCTTTTATATGTTGTAAAGTATACTTAAATGATCCTGGTGATCATGGTGTTTGGGAAGAAAACTGCTTTGCTAGTGATATTAGATAGAACATATGGTACATGAATAATATTGAAATCTTGCTACTCTTTTCTTATATTCTGCCCCAAACCCAAAGGGGGATTACAAATAAATAAATAAGGTCAAGGGAGAGAAAGAACCTTTGGTGACTCAGATTTGCCAGTCACAAAAACTAAGCAGACTCTAGAAGACTTTACTGCATCCATATATGTTGTTATAGTCTTAAAATAGTACAACAGTCTACACGAAGGGTTGGGAAATTTTTCCTATAAAGGGCCAGATAGGCCGGGCGCTGTGGCTCACGCCTGTAATCCTAGCTCTTGGGAGGCCGAGGCGAGGCGGGTGGATTGCTCAAGGTCAGGAGTTCAAAAAAAGGGCCAGATAGTAAATATTTTGTCACAACTTCTCAACTCTGCCAAATAGCATAAGAGTGGCCATAGACAATGCATAATTGAATGAGTATACCATGTTCCAATAACATTTAATTTATGTACACTGAAATTTAAAGTTCATATAATTTTCACATCATGAAATATTATCATTTTTTTGAACCATTTAAAAATGTAAAAGCCATTCTTAGCTTTTGGACCAAATAAAACAGGCTGCAGGCCAGATTTGGCCTGTGAGGCATAGTTTGCTGATCCTGGCCCACACTATTGGCGTCTTTCTTTTCTGCCATTGTTGCTGGGACTGTAGGAACATAATGAGTGACTGATATCAAAAGAGAAAGGTTCTTTTAATATCTCTTTTTATCCTATCTCGAAGATTTTTTTTCAAGAAAGCATTATAATCTGAGATTATAAAACTAGATAGGTTGTAATATATTTTCGAATGCTTTTCTTTTTAAGAATGTGTTTCTAGGTCTACTAGTATTAATCAATAAAAAGAGCAGAAATTTAAGGGACTATACATTTTATTTTTTAATAAACCACATGGCAAAACACTTTAATAAATGTATAGGAAATTACAATTTGAAAATTGCAAATACAGCACATATACATATACTTTAATCTAATTACATGGACAAACCCCAGCTTCAAAATCTTTCTAAAATCAATCATATGCAAAATACCTGGTTTCTGAAGGGGTATATAGAAAAGTATATACAATTTGTTAATCTGTGATATGGCTTATTTAATAACATTTATTTAGAGAAGTATAAGCTTTCCAAATATATAATATCTTCTAGGTGGAAAGCTGACATACTGGCACATTTCAATTTTGTGTTGCAGTTATTTCTGAATATACTTAATTGCACTATTTAAATTGACACTGTCATAGATTTAACTGGGAAAGTCTCCATAAACGTTTTCCAATCTTACCAAAACTCAGAAAATATTTGTTGGTCCTCACAATAGGACTGGAAGAGCAGGTTAAACCCTTTGTAAGTGAGAATTCTGTGGCTGGCCTGAATGCACACACATAATACAGAGGAACTCCCACAACAATTTCTTCTCTCCAATTTGCATGCTCCCACTAACATCACAAACAATATACTTGATAGGCAACCAGTACAACAAATCTGAAGCCTTGGCTGACAGGATTCACATGACAGATCTGGGGTTAGGGTTTGCAAATGATATTTTGGCTACAGAGATATGAAGATTCATCAATAATTTGGAGATCAGATGTGCCTCTCCTCAGCACAGCATATGGCAAGGTATCGCTGTTCATTTATGACTAATCCCCAACTAGTTCATGAACTAAGCTTGGTTCAAAGACAAACCAAACCAAATGAACCACCCTTATGTCTAGGAACACATTCTGTAACTTTAAATTTACTATATACAAGGCAGAGTCAGCAGTGAAATGGCTTAAAACCTTATCTCACAGGGGCTCAAATTCTGTAAGAACACTTTATTCATTATGTTGAACCAATTAAGATAAATGCATAAAAAGAAAATAAATTTAGCTGTTTGTTTCAGAACCAAATGATTAACTCTACAAAGGTTGTAAGAGTGGTTATTTAAAAACATGACCCAGGGTCTTATTAGCAATGATCTTCACTGGTGGTTGCACAGTATAGTCTATTTCTATCTATCATACTTACTCTATGAAGTTTAGTGTGCAGAGAAATCTGGATCAGGAACAATCAGTTAAAAAAAGATTCTTTCCCACCTGGTAGTACATTTCTACATGGTGCCTTGTCTCTGAAAGACAGTTTTTTCTCACATTAAAATGAAAGAGAAGCCATATACCTGATCTTGACTATGTTTATTGTGGGAAAAGCCTACCAAAGACGAACACTGTCAGCTGCGACGCTTGGCTTCAAGAAATAGAACACTGAGACTCCTAAGAGCAGGAAACTTAGTTTTAGAGAATAGAAATATAACACCCAAAGTTGAAAACAGTAAAATAAAAAATTCAGTGATTTGGCAAACAATACTGATGGGAACTGTAAATTGTGAAAACCTGTGCTCACATTACATACCTAATGGAAATGTATGTAGGGATTACAATAGCTTCTAGTTCTGCATATCACAGCCCTCCGAAATATGCCTTAATCAACTATATTCCTGTTACATTTCTAAGACAGCATAATTGTTAGTGAGACAACAGGTCTTTTCCTAAAAGAAATCAAAAGGCTGCATTTGGCCAAGAGTTGTGAAACACAGGTTTATGTACACAAGCAACTCTGATTATTTGCAAATATTAATTAAAATACATGGCACTGAAGAACTGCTAAGTTTTAATGTTGTGATCTGTTCTGTTGTGTTCTCCCAGTGCAAAATTAACAATGTTATATGTTTGTCCAACTCAGCTACTGGTTTTCACAGGGCAATAGAGAGCTCTTTGAAAGCTCAGTTGAGAAGAGGAACACATGGCTGTAGTTCAACAAGTGAAGGATAGACCTAATGCTCTTTGTCAGAACCTGTGCAGTCCCTGGTCATATCTCCTAAGTTAATGTCCTTCTTTGTGCATTTTGTCAAGTTACAAAAAGTGAAATCTATCAATTCCCAAATCTAATAGACCCAGTAAAGTAAAAATACAAAATCTGAAATTCTTGCCACAAAAACAAAGCACAAGAGACTTCATGTGTACTTCACTATAAGCAGAACACGATAGTTAAGATTTACAACAGTTCTCGGTGTTTCTGTATTTTACAAAAGGATCCTTTTCAATTCTCAAATGAATTTTAGATGGTTGTTTCAAATAGCTTTTTAAGGAGCAGGTTTATAAAGCCAGATTTGCCTTTATAAGATAAAGGAAAGTTTATAAGAAACAAGGTCAGTAAATATGGGAAAATTATTAGTGTATAATGCGTATATTTTTTCCTTTCTCTTGCTAGATACCCAAAGTCCATAAATGACCAGGTAGCCACTGAAATAGCTCTCATTTATTCTTACTTGCCTTCTTTCTATATATAAGAGTATTTTGACTTAGTTTATTCACTCCTGAAATTTTTGAGAAACTCAAATCATTATTTTAAACGACTTTACAATAAGAATCCCATAAAGTACATTTTCAATTCATCAAACATCTACTGGGTTTTATTAGGTACCATCAATCATTTTATTGATACCATTAACTCCCAATAATCATTTAGGTAAATCCAGGTTTTCTTATCTTAGGCTTAATTATAGTAAGGTACTTGGTAGGAAGATGAAATCTGTTTCCTATTCTTCATTTATACTAAGTCATGCCTATCTAGAATTTCAACTCACAACTTTCTGGGTACATTGTTAATCTACTGATTCTCTGAGAGCCCAAGAACCATATCAATTCTTGGTATAAGAAACTGTCCCTGTTGAAAAGGGACTCCTAATGTGCACAAAGATGACCTCAAAACCAGTGGTTGCAAAATGAAACGTGAATAATCACAGCTGCCTTTTTAACACAACACAACTGTTACCAATTAGGTTGCCTTCAGTTTGGAAACTTAGTCTCCCTACAACACAAATTTAAAGTCTATTCCTATTCCAGTGCTTTAAAACACACACACACACACACACACACACACACACACACACACACACACACACACACCCTTTACATTTTTGTTTTTTCAAAGTATTATCTTCCCTCAACTCCTTTGGACAGTTCTGCTATGGTATTATTGGAAAACCTCAAAATTATATCTTAGGGTTTATGGAGTCCATGGAGAATCTCTAACCCACATTATAAAGCAGAAATTCTCTTTGGAGTAATGTGGTTAATCTACATGTGAGAGATGGGTATGACCAACTGAACCTTAGCCCTCTACAATTTTACCCTGAAAGACAAACACAGATTATCTGGTAAGGAGGCAGGAACCAAGGTACCATATTTTTCGTACAAATTGTTGGCAGTTCTTAAAGGGACAGAGGACCATTGTTTACCTTTTGCAGTCTCTTGCTGTTTTTAAAACAATTCCATGAACAATAAAAGTGATTTTGGGAAGACATAAGTCTGAAACCCCATACTCCATCCTCGCTTCTTTGTTTTAAATTACTATATAGTAATCTGAGTTTTAGACTAACTTCTGTCATTTGGAATAATATTGAAAATATTTGCTAATAATTTAATGATAATGAACACAACATGTAAAGATTTGGTTCTAAGATTACAAATAATCCATAATGTTAACTTTGAGATTCAAAACCCTGTAGCATCTGGAAAAAGCTGTTTATAAAGTATAACTATAATACCATTAAGACTTATTTGTGAAATAAAACATTTCTGAAACACTTAGGAATACATGCTTATTCCATTCTCTGGATAGTTACTAATACTTTCTGAAATCTGTTGAGAAATAACTTCTGTAAAAAGAGAGCAGCAATTCCAGAAGCTGGGTGTCAAGATTACGTAATAAAAAATTTCAGTTTTCTAGCATTTGCTTAATATAAAATGGCCTTTAAAAAGTATTTTTAAATGCAAATACTGAATTCTTGATGCTTCCTTTAAGACAAGTACTCTGTCAAATTAATGAAGTATGGTCTTGGATTGTCTTCTATGAGGTATCTGTAGAGTCACATCTCATTCTGTAAACAATGTTTTGAAAACATCTTCACTTGAAAATCATGAAGTCTCATTTTACCATTAACAAAGCCTAGCACTGTCAGGCTGGGTGACTGAGAGACTGGTACTTGATATGAACACAGCTGTCAGGGATCCCATTTTCTCATTTGGGTTTGCATTTATTGCTCTCAAGTCTGTGATCATAGGATAAATAAGGCAGTAGTCCCCAAAATATATAACGTTAGGGACTGAAACTCTGGCAATTTGCACAAGTTCTGTCCACTTCTTGTCTGTAACTCTGAAGCTGAATAGTACATTTATACATGCCAAATGTGTTCAATAATAAATGGTTTGCTTTGGATTGTACTTCCTCCCATTTAGATGAACTTCCAGGAACTGCAATGTCAAGAAAATATCATTACTATTCATTGTACTTAGTTATACATTAGTGAAAAAGACACAGGGAAAAAAACATCCTTATACTGTGAGCATATTTTTATTCATCTGATTTCTACCCTTTCTAAGCTATTAGAGAAGTATGTCAGTTTATCTATAATGGCTTCTCATTATTCCATCTCTCTAGTCCACTCTCAGGTAAAGAAAGAATACTAGACATCACTTATAACCCTGTCATTAAAAAGATCTTATGCACTTTTAAAAAGAAACCACACACATGTATTTTGATAAAAAAATAAAATAAAAATCAGTATCTGTGAAATGCATTAAAGAGATAAAAAAAAAACATAAGAATCTAGCATTTCTTCTATAGAAAAGAGCATGGAAAATATATTTAATGCCTTTAATCTGAAGGTAAAAACCAATTTGTAATGCCTCAAGTCAAAAATATCAAAAATTATTCTTCTGCTATCAATATTGACCTACAACTTACCTTTTGAAGAGCCTCAGCCCTCCCTTAAGACAAATCTTTTCAGCAGAGAAGTCTTCCTACTTAATTATAAGCACATATTTAGTTCTAAAGATAGAAATTCACCAACCCCAGGCCCACATTACTATCAGCAACATACTTAGCTGTATGCGAACTATGGCAGTAGATTTTCCTGAAGTAAGAGACCAGATATTTAAATCTTCCACTGAATATACATCTTCTATTTTCATCAAGGCTTCTTTGATATAGTCTACATTCAAATGGCTTGGTACACCTATTAGTTAGAAATATATAAGTAAAGTTTACTTTGGAAAAAAATAGTTTTATATTAATGATAAGACATTTTTCAAAGAAAACAAATATCTTTGCCAAATTCGGTTTAAACAGATACTTTAAAATATGTTAATATTAATACTTTAAGATAAACCATGCACATGTATATTTTTACTAAAAATGTAGGATATATAAAAGAGATTAATACCTACTTAAAAAAGTTTATTCTCCCTAAGAAAGAATGCCAATCAAGCCAGAATACTCATTTAACAGACACTCTAGGATAAACAAAAAAAAGAAAAAGAAAAAAAAAGAGAGGAATATCCAATGATGATAAACCTATTGTTGAGAACATTTATTTTCATGCTTACACATAATATTAGTAAGACAAGGATGTTGTAAATATAACAAAGTCACAAGTTAAATGGGAATTAAAGAATAAATAAACCACTAAACATAACTGCAGTGAGAATCAAGAGTTGCATTCTTGTCCTAGCTCAATTTATTAGCAGCATGACCTTAATCACGGTTAAGTTATCTCTCTGAACTTCAATTTTTTGTTTGCACATGGAGATAATTTATTCTAACGTCTGCCTTACCTACTTTGCTTATTATAAGGGTCAAATGGGTAACAGAGGGGGGCACATTGATCCTTATATATTACATACATGTAAGGTAGTGTTACATAACCTAATAAGTAACAGAAGAAAGCAAAAGTCCTACTAGACTGTCCCCCCTGACTCCCAATTTGCTTTGGATAAGTAATAAACCCATAATGGGGATATTAGTGAGATCTTACCTTCTAGTATTATAACTATTGTATCCCATATGATGCGAAATGTTGTAAAAGCCACAAGAAATGAAAATATATATGTACAGATGGGATCAGCAATCTTGTATTCTGGCTAAAAGGTAATAGATCAAAGTTTTGATTAAATATAGACTATATAGACTAAATATAGACTATGATTAAACACAGACATAAAACAGACTATAAAGCAAAGCAGGGCATATGTTCCCCAATCTTTGATTTTTTAGGAGGATTGGAGAATACCTTTAAAACTTGGATATTGTAATTGAGAAACATCTTTACTATTTCTTAGATTATTAATGACTTTCCTCATGGGAATTATTTCCAGAAGTTTAATCACTTGTTCTATTGTTCTTCTCTGTGCCTTCTCTACATCTTCCACCCAGAATCATAGAATACCAGAGCTGTAAGCAGTCTGTTTGTTTTAGAGACAATGTCTCACTATGTTGCCCCGGCTGGCCTCAAACTCTTGAGCTCAAGGTAGCCTTCTGTCTCAGCTTTCTGAGTAGTAGGACTACAGGCAGGCACCACCATACCTGGCTCTGGAAGGAATTTCAGCAGCCATCTGATCTAAGCCTGTCATAATAAAGAGGCAGGAACTCAAGTTCAGAGTTGAGGGACTTGCTGAAGGTCAAAGCATTAATGGCAGAGCCAAGATTAGAACTACCTAGCAGCTCAGTGACAAGGTTTAAAATTGAGTTCTCCAGTGAAGGCACTACCAAAGCCTACTACAGGTAGTGTTACCCCATGAGGTGATACCATTGTGTTTACTGCTAACAAAAGAGCTACACTGACGGCTTATATCAATGCAAAATGAATAAAACTGGCATTGGTTTCCAACATACTGATAAAAGACAATCAATCAGCTTTAGTTTTAACACTGAAATGAAGTACATTTTAAAACAGAAAAATTAGCAATCATATTACCTTGAATCGTATGATGTATGCAGCTATTAGCACACCAACACTCTGTACCAAATCCCCCAAAGCATGTACAAATGCAGCTCTCACTGCCAGGCTATCCTGCCCATGGCTGTTTCCACACCCAGAACCTGTGGTAGGAGAATTTGTAGGCAGGGTGTGGGAATGGGAGTGATGGTGACCAGATTGGTTCAACAGGAACCCCATTCTGTTAAAAATAAAAAAATTATTATTTTCTTAATGTTACTGATAAAAATATTTGTTACTAGTCAGACACTAATGAAGTAACATGGAACTCATTCACTTAATAAATATTTGAGCAATTATTACTTATCAGGTACTATTCTAGGTGCTGGGGTCAAAACTGAATAAGACAGACATATCTCTAAGCCCCATAGAGCTTATGTTCTAGTATAGAAGGTAGAGAAGCAAACACATACATAATGTATAGCCAGGCAATGCAAAATGCTTTCAAGAAACATAAAGCACTTTAACAGGATGGAGAAAGATGGGGATCATGGTCAGAGAGGGCCTCTCTCAGATTCTGTCTGAGCAGAGACCTGAAAGGATTCCGGGAGCAAATGTTGGTGAACGTGTTCTAGGTGGAAGAAGAGTAGGGCAAAGGCCCTAAGATAAAAACATGCTCCATTTACTTAAAACCAAAAACAACAAAAAATACCCAGCCATTATATAGCCAGAATAAGATAAACCAAAGTGTTAGGAGATGACTGGAGAGGCACACAGGGTCTTATTAAAAAGGCTATGGTAAAGACTTGGTTTTATTCAAGTACGAATAGAAGTCACTAGGGCGGGGATTGGTAAACTATGGCCAATAGACCACTTTGGTTCGCTAACATTTTTTGTACATCAAATTTTATTGCATTTGTTTACATTTTTTATTGTGGCTGCTTTTGTTTTGTAACAGCAGAGATGAGTAGCTTTGAAAGAGACTGTAGAGCTCTCAAAGCCTCAAATATTTACTATCTACCACATTATAGAAAAAGTTTGCTGACCCCTGGTCTAAATGATTAAATACATAACTTAAAACTTTGGTAGCTTATAGGAAAAAAAATTGGTAGTTAAAAAAATCTAGTTAATACAAAAGTATTCTAAAAGTTAAACAACAACAAACTTTGTCCTACTTAAATTCATGAATGTTAGTCCAACTCTAATATACTTGAGCAAACTAATGAGGAATTTATGATGTCCAAAGTATTTCATTTATAAGAAAAATTAGTGCATAATGCTATATATGTTGAAAAATATGAAAATATCAGTGCATATTACTCAATGCATGTACACAGTCTCTTAAGTTCACAGTACTTGAAAATGTTAATGTGAAAAAATATAGAGCTTACATTACATTAACTGCAACTCCAACAGCTGCGGTGATGAGCATTATATCTCCATTTATTTCATAGTTCATATGGATAGTTCTTTGCACAGCTTCATATAAGAGGAATCCCATAAGTATATATACCAACAGCACACTAATCATAGCTGACAAAACCTCTAGAGGGAAAAAGATATAAAACAAATATATTTTCATCACAATTATTATACTCCATACCAACTAAATATTATATAGTCTTTTATTTATATTTTCTTTCCTCTAAGGAGATACAAGCACAATATAATTTTTATCATGTTATTTTTCTTATTTAAAAAGTGTTAGCAGCTTGACTGGGCTGGATCCTCTACCAATTCATCTTCATCACTCCTCATCCTCCCTCCACTCATCTCTCTTTAGGTCCAATTATGTATATTTACAGACCATACCCAAGGTAAAAAATGACAAACTGAGAACAAACATTTGTAACATATCTGACCACAGACTAATTTCCTGACATAAAAAAGGACACTTAAAAATCAGTAATAATAACAACAAAAAAACAGTAACAAAGTGAACAACACATTAGAAAAATGGATAAAGGACACAGACAGCAATTCACAGCAAACAGAAATAGCCAAATTCTCAAAATTCAATCATAATTAAAGGAAATTCAAATAAGCCTAAGATTTCTTTTTCCGCTACTAATTTGGCAAGAATTAAAAAGTTTGATAATAGCCAGAGTTAGCAAGGATATACTGGTGAAAGTATCTAATGGTATTACCTCTTTCAAGAGCCAATTAATAAAACTAATAAAAATTTAAAATGCATATATTCCTGATCCAAAAATTGTACTTCTAGGACTCTGACAGAAATAACGGTACAAAGAAAAAAATCTGGAGACATTTTAAGTGTCTACCAAAGAAGAACTTAATAAATTATAATATATACCTATATAGTGGACATGTCCACACAGCCATTTATTTATTTATTTATTTATTTATTTATTTATTTTTGAGACAGAGTCTCGCTTTGTTGTCCAGGCTAGAGTTGAGTGCCCTGGCGTCAGCCTAGCTCACAGCAACCTTCAACTCCTTGGCTCAAGCAATCCTACTCCCTCAGTCTCCCGAGTAGCTGGTACTACAGCCCAGGCATGCACCACCATGCTGGGCAATTTTTTCTATATATATTAGTTGGCCAATTAATTTCTTTCTATTTATAGTAAAGACGGGGTCTCGCTCTTGCTCAGGCTGGTTTCGAACCCCTGACCTTGAGCAATCTACCCACCTCGGCCTCCCAGAGTGCTAGGATTACAGGCATGAGCCATTGTGCCTGGCCACAGCCATTTATTTAAAAAGAAAAAAGAAAATAAGGCAAATTGATAATCACAAGAAAGATAACAAAGATTGCTTTCAGAAAACATCTCTGTAGTTCATTATTAGAGAAGTTTCTCTGAATGTGTTAAAAAAATACAGACAGATACGAAAGTATTACATCTGGGAAGTAGGACTGGAAGCTTGGAGGATTCATTTTTCACATTATCCTTTTTGGTAATGTTTGAAGTGCTCTAAAATTTTACTATAAACACATATTACCTTTAGACTAAAGGAAAACAAATAATTTTTCTTTTTCATGAGACAGGGTCTCACTCTATTGCCTTGGCTAGAGGGCAGTGGTATCAGCGTAGCTCACTGCAACTTAAAACTCCTGGGCTCTGGCCATCCTCCTGCCTCAGCCTCATGAATAGCTGGAACTGCAGGTGTGTACCACCACACCTGACTAATTTTTTTTTTTTTAAATCTCTTGTAGAGATGAGGTCTTGCTATGTTGCTCAGGCTGAAGAAAAACAAAATATTTAAGACATGCAAGCATTCAAAGTGCTTTGACCCAGGATTCCTCTTCTAGGAATGATACACACACTCCTGCCAACTGAGTTGTACATGTGCAAAATGAAGTATGTTCTGAGGCTATTCATCAAGTGTTGTATATAATAGCAAATGATTGGACACCACAAAAAGTGATTAATAAAGGCACTGTAACATGGAATACTATGCAGCTGTAAAAAAGGAACAAAAAAGCATATCTTGATAAGGAATAATTTCTAAGACATAGTATTATGTGAAAAAAGCAAAGTATGCAATAATTGTATATGATACATTACCATATATATAGAAAAAGGAGAAAAGAGAATATATAAATAATCATCTATAAATATAATCTCTGGAAGGAATATACAAAATACTTATAAAAAACTGTTACTTTGGGTGAGAACTGGTGGCTGGGAAACAGGATCATTTTGTAGTATATGTGCTTTTGTACCATTGGAATTTTCTACCATGTGAATATAAAGTAAAAATAATTTCATATCTTTTCAAAATAACAAAAATAAGGCAATATAAAGTACATTTAAAAATTAACATTATTATATAAAACAACTATTGATACTAAAATAGTAAAAGCAAGAAAAGAATTTAGAGAAAACTTTTCCTTTATAGAAATCTGACATTAATCCTGTTAAGTGTTAAAAGGTAAACAATCTGGAAAACTGTTATCTGGAATGACTCATTGCTCAAAGGTTCAACATATTGGACTTTGATACATTTTCATTCCAATTTATAAGTTACAACACAGAAAAATTAACTAGCAGTTATAGGCTATTTCCTTAAGACACCTAATTAATGTAGCCAAAATGCCTATAAAATCCTGTGCATCAACAGAATAGATGCTGGAATAAAAAACAAAAAACATACCATTCCTATTTAAAACCATGGCACACCTATTCCTGACACACTTCAAAAGAGATACAAGAGCTAAAGAAGACAGAGAAAAAGAACACCTGAAATAATAGGAAGCTGTGGAGAGATTTTCATATTAAATATAGACTATAAACTCTTTGAGGATATGGACCAAATCTTATTCCATGTCATATTTACTATAGTACTTAGCAGAGTAGCTTGCATATAGCAGATACTCAAATATTTATGGATCAATTTGTAGGATGAAGTTAGTCAAAAGTTGACCAAAGGAAAATGATAAAAGGCTATACAATTAAGAAAGTTAAGCTAAATATGAAGAATAGGTCACTAACTAAATCCCCTTAAAACAAGAAGTTAATAGATCAGAATAGAAAGTTTAAGTCAAATAAAAGACAGAAAACACACACTGAATTTCCAAATTATAACTGCTAATCATAAGGTATGCATATATAAATAATATAAAGAAATGAAATAATTTAAAAAATTTTAAACTGTAAAATCTCATGTATTAGTTGTAGCCTCTACAACTAGTTGGACTTTAATAAAGTATCAAGGTTGAAGCTAGCAATTAGGCCACCATAGTTTTTAAGGTGCCTTAATTCAATTTTTAATATAAAAATTATAAAGCAATATACTTTACATTCATAAAGATTCATAGCTACACAAGTTAATGACAAAGATACGATTGGTTATAAAAATTTAAAACCAATAATCAAAAATTATTTCAAAAGCTCTTAATATTAATAATTAGGTTGACAATTCTTTCCAATTTTCCCAGGACAGTCCAGTTTATGCTTGCTGTCCTGGCATAATCATTAACAGTGTCCCATATCACTCTCAAAAGCATCCTGGTTTGGATGATTAATTATACAGTTACCCTAGTAGGTCTGCCAGATAAGATACTGGATGTCCAGTTAAATTTGCATTTCAGATAAGCAACACATAATTTTTTAGTATAATCGTGTCCCATGCAATAAATATTTCGGACATATTGGGAATTCTGTGTGTATGCTAAATATGGCAATGCCATGCCCCAGTGATAAAACACTTAAAATTACGCTTTCGTAAATTCTTGGACAAGGCAAACCCAGATTTAAAATAAAGTGGGCCGGGCATGGTGGTACACGCCTATGATCCTAGCACTCTGGGAGGCTGAGTCAGGAGGATAGCTCAAGGTCAGGAGTTCAAGACCAGCCTGAGCAAGAGTGAGACCCCGTCTCTACTAAAAATAGAAAGAAATTAGCTGGACAACTAAAAATATATATAGAAAAAAAATTAGCCAGGCATGGTGGTGCATGCCTGTAGTCCCAGCTATTCAGGAGGCTGAGGCAGAAGGATTGCTTGAGCCCAGGAGTTTGAGGTTGCTGTGAGCTAGGCTGATGCCATGACACTCTAGACCAGGCAACAGAGCAAGACTCTGTCTCAAAATAAATAAATAAATAAAATAAAGTGAAATGAAAGTCAAACAAAAAGCATGAAAAGAGCTTCTTGGCAGAAGGACTCACACCCTTACACAGCCCACTTTGCTCCTGCAGCCTCCAGCTGAAAATTTAGTTCCCCACGTCACAGTTTTCACCCATGTGAGCAGCATATAAGAGATCCTAATGACTACTCACAGTTAACAGTAATGGAATTCAGCTGATTCAGAGAAATTCCCAAAGTGGCATATTATGGTACTGCTATCAATGATACCCTTTTCAAGCAATTAATAAGGAATGTGCCTTATAATCTGGCTCCCTCGGTGAAAAGCAAAGACATTCATCTGTTATTTTTTATTCTAATCACCTGTCAAAATGTCTTCTGGACATAGTACTGATAAATGTAAAAGAAAAAAAGAAGACAAATTTTAAGTAGATGTCTGGGGCTGAGATTTATAATTAGGAAGTATAAGGCATAGACAAAACTAAAAATCCTAATAGAAGTTATATGATCATTTGTTCGGATAAAACAAAAAGCTCTTTCACTGTGAATAAATTAAACTTTGGTGAAATACCATAAATAGGACTAAATTAGGGTTTAAAAAATTTTTCTCTCATAACATTTTTAACATGCTGGAATGCAGATAAAGATAAGCAAGTTTTCCCACAACATTTAAGAGAGAGGGAAGCTCTCATGAATGTCATATTTCAATCTAAATGGAAATTTAGCATTAAAAACTCTTGAAAGAGATTTTTATGGAAATGCTAGAAAACTTATATAATAGTAGCTCTAACATGTTGCTACTTAACTTTACACATATATAATTAAATCACTGTATCTGGCTAAACTGTAGCAGAGGAGGGAGTAAGATGAGTGAATGTGTTTTTTTGCTATAAGATCATTTGGATCTTTTCATTCAGCTGAAATATAAACAAATATATATGGTCAATGACCTAATAAAAACTAAAATACACCCTAAATTTCAACTACAGAGAATAAACCATTTG